CAATACAAATTAGATAAAATCCTACAAGGACCACAAGATAAATTGATTTAAAAAGTTTATAATTTTCTACGAGGATATAAATTGGAAGAAGTAGTAGTCAAGGAAAATATGATAACTTGGGCAAAGAATTTCGGCTACAATATTGAATTAGACAAGTGGAAAAAATTATGGACAACAAACTATAAATTAACAATGTCTGTACCCTATAAAGAGAACCTATACAAAATCTTCTATAGGTGGTACCTTCCACTGGCTAGACTGGCAAGAATGTTCCCCAACACTCCTTCAACATGCTGGAAATGCAAACGTCACAAAGGGACTTATTATCATATGTGGTGGACTTGCCCGCTGGCAAAGCAGTATTGGTTAACAATCAGAAAACAAATAGAAGAAATAACCCAGCAAAGAATAGAAATGAGACCAGAAATCTTTCTATTAGGCATAATAAATGGACAATATGAAAAGGAAATCAAATACTTAATTATCCATAAATGACAGCAGGGAGAATAATTTTTGCACAAAATTGGAAAGGCAGTGACATACCAATGGAAGAAAAAGTAATCAATAAAATCATGGATTGTGCAGAAATGGACAGACTCACAAAGGAATTACAAAATAGAGAAGAACACGATTATTATTTAGTATGGGAAAAGTGGTATACCTGGTTGGAAGGCAGAAAAGGGAAAAATTAGCATGTAAGTGAAGTAACTCAATAGAGTAATACGAACATAAACTTACGAACATAGGTTAACAATGAACCAATAAAATAGACATAAGAGATAGACCAATAGTAATAAGGAGTCAAAAACACAAACAAGAACATACAGTACAGTTACGATAAACTTGATATATATTTGAATTCTTGTTTATATGTTTACATGTTTTGTATGTTTTGTCGTGATTTGTTTTGTTTTGTTTGTACTTTCAAATAAAAAACTTTAAAAATAAATAAATAAATAAATAAATAAAATGGAGTCTTGCATGACTAATGGAAAATGTGGATTATAGAGAGACACCATCTGGCGTAAAGAGGAACTTTGTAACTTCCCTTTGTTATGGGAAACTCTGAACTTTACAGATAAAAATTACTGAACTCTGTGGAGGAGGATTTTTTTTTTCCTTGTATGCAGGTGGTTTGATTATGGTGAAAAGAAAAGAAACCTACAGTGCAACTCCTACAGTTGAAATAATAATAATTTAAATGTTGGCACAGGAATAGAAGAAGGATTAAGTGCAGCCTCAAAAGAAAAAGATTTGATATAAAGAAACCTACAATGGAACTCCTACAGTTGAAATAATAATAATTTAAATGTTGGCGCAGGAATAGAAGAAGGATTAAGTGCAGCCTCAAAAGAAAAAGATTTGATATATCATATCTGGAATAAAAAGAAGAAAAGAGAATTAACTTGATTTATGGAGAACAAAATTAAAAACTTGGAAAATGGAAGGAAATATATGTTTGCAGGCGAGGAAATGAAGATAATGTAATTAAAAATAAAATAAAATAAAGATGGATTATAATAATAAAAGGGAGGTTTTTATAGAAATCAAGAATGTTAAAAGAAATTAATATATGTAAAGATATTCTTGGTGCAAGAACTATGTTTTAATGTCAAAATGTTAAGGAAAAGAATAAGGATAAATATGATTAATTTAAAATGTTAAAAGGAATTCATAAATACAGTTAAAGATATGTTTTAAGCAAGAACCATGTCTCAATGTTAAAATGTCATGAATGTCATGAAAAAGGATACAGAAAAATAAGATTATGTGAAAAAGCAATGCATAGATGGATGGAAACAACAAAGAAAAGTTTAAGTAGCGATTGATAGTTAAACCAACTATGAATATGCTGTGTTTAACAGCCAAAAAGTTATAATATGCTGTGTTGAACAGCCAAACAAAATTATTATGCTGTGTAACAGCCAAAACAAAACTGAATATGCCGTGTAACGGCCAAAAAAACAAAAATGAATATGCTGTGTTTAACAGCAAAAAAAAATGGAATATGCTGTGTAACGGCCAAAAAAAATAAAAATTAATATGCTGTGTTTAACAGCCAAACAAGAAAGGGCATGCTGTGTAACAGCCAAAAAAATAAAAAAGGATATGCTGTGTTCAACAGCCAAAACAAATGGTTATGCTGTGTTTAACAGTCAAGAAATAAAAATGATTGGTTTAACAACAAAGATAAAGACAATAACGCTGGGTTTTTTTAAGGAAAATATAAAATGAGGTGGATAATTAAAGTGAGGAAGTGTATGTTGAGAGTGATAGTTAAGATAAATGAATAAGTTAGGTTTAATAATAGAAATAAAGATTATAAATTTTGAGTTTAATAGTTAGAAATAAAATGGGTATGTTGAAATTAAATATTTTTGGAATGTTTAACATACTTGTATGATTTATATTGTTAAAATATATCCATCTAAGCAAATGAAAGAGAAAAATGGATTGATAATTGGTTAGGATTTAAGATTTCAGTAATGGGTTTTTGGGGATAATAGCATAATTACATAGACAGATTTGAGGGAAATACTTGTTTAAAATATTTAGTTGTGTTAATTGAAAAATAAGATTTGTTAATGATTTGCTTTAATATGTGACCGGAGCAAAAGCTTCGTTTTGAAAAGATGTGCTTTATGTTTTTGTTTTAAAAATAAAAAAAATTATTAAAAAAAAAAAGAATTGGCTGGGCCAAACAGCCCTGCCTCGGAATAACGACGACAACGCCACTGCCGCCACCCCTTTCCACCTCCTCCAGAAAAGGGCTAAGCGAGTCACTCCTGCCGCCCCCCCCCATTCTTCATATGTTGTGGTTCAAAGGGGGAAAAAACCCACAGGAAGTCCTGCTCCTGGTGCTGCTGGGGAAGAGGGACCGCAAGAACCGCTGTTGCTATGGGCGAGGGAGTGCCAGTGCCAGAAGCAGCGGGCTGAGGCTTCAATCCCTTCCCCTGGACAGCCTGCTCGGGCGGGGAGACAGGGAAGCCCCAGACTACAGATCCTTCTCACCACCCCCTCACACCCGGCGGTGGTGGTTCTTGTGCTGCCCTTTCCTGGCAGTTCTTGCGCTGCCAGAAGCAGCGAGCCGGGGCATCAACCCCTTCCCCTGGACAGCCTGCTTGGGAGGGAGACAGAGAAGCTGCAGACCGCATATCCTTCCCACAGCCCCCTTGGACCCGGCTGTGGCAGTTCTTGCGCTGCCAGTAGTGCATGCATAGGGGAGTGTGCGCAATGCAGGGTGCATGCATGGGGGAGCGTGCGCAATGCAGGGCGCCTGCACGGGGAGCATGTGCAGTGGAGGGTGCATGTGCCAGGAGTGTGGGGGGGTCGTGTGCACATGCACATGGGGGATTCGCATTGCATTATGGGTGCTGGCATGCTCACGCACTATCGCGCACGCACAGACACACTTCCAGCACGCAACGAGAAAGGTTCGCTATCACTGACCTAGATGTTGCTGCTGGAATTGCTGTTCTCCTTTAATGGCTTATCACTCTTTATTTTTGTTTTTTGTGACGTCTTTATCATGTAGGGAGTAATATAGGGAATTAAATATTCCTCAGGCAAGAATATTTAAGACGAGATAGTCCTTCAGATACTCAGGCCTTAAAATAACTTTTGGGTTAACATCAGCTGATTATACCACATTCATAACCCTAACTTGAATCAGTACCCAAGCAATGGCATTTTGTATTAAGCTTTTGTGCAAACTAGTTTTGTTCAAATTTGAGGTTTGAAGGCATAGACAACTATTGGATATGCATGTTAGTTCTATAATTATTCTTTAGCACACAATTCTTATTTTCAGGACTCTGAATTATTTCACTATTATAAGAGATGTAAACCAAATCTAAATATCAAAGAAACATTTAAATTAAGAACATTTAGTAGTGCAGACTTCTTCTTTTGTGGTCTGTATAGTTTATATATAATGTGGTTTATTCTAATGAACTCCATCACTGAGATGATTGGCAACCTAAAAATTCATTCTAAATTCCTTTTATTTTCCTATGTAGTTCCAAAGATCTTCTATCATTTGCATCTACATTATACCCTTTGAAAACTCATAAAGCATTTCTAAGTTGTCCAATTTCTGAAAAAAATCAATAATTAATCCTTAAGTAATTGAACAATAAATTTACTATTATATATTTGAATGTCACCATAGCACCTAGCTAACCAATTGTTCAGATCTTATTACTCGTTTGATTGACCTCCAAGAAATCTCAAGATTATAGATTAAATTGGGAAGTAAAACTTGTAGGAGGGCAAAAGAAACCTGTGTGTTTGTGTATCACCATAGACACTTAGGAAAGCTGTGTTGGACTGTAGTGCCCCAAAATCAGGGGCTTTGTTGTATCTTTTCAGATTAACACGTTTCATCAAAAGGCCTTAACTGCATCCTGAACTGCATTTTCTCCATCACAGTTGATAAAATGAACGTCAGCTCAGGAAACCTGATGCCTTTAAATAAAATGCACTTTACAAGTGCTACTAGAATTCTGATCCCTATAGCTGCTACTGGTCAAGGCCAACTGGAGAAGATTTAATAAGATAACTGCACACAGTGACTTAATGTTTGTGCAGTAGCTCCAATAGTTGGTTGGGAAGTTCATTCTTTATGCAGCAAAGATGGTCGGCCACTTATGATGTATCTACTCTGAAGTCTAGAATGAATGAACGATAAACGCTTTCAGGGAATGTGCCCGCCAGCCGGTTGAGCGCTGGCCCTTGTACATGCGCTCCACGAATCCCTCGAATAAAGACAAGGCTGAGGAGCTGTATGCCAGTTCCAATTAAAAGAATCGACGCTTTTCAACTGACGTTATAAAGGGACTCGATGCAGCTAAATTCATCTGCTAGGCGACGCGCCCTCCTAAAACGGCAGCGGCGCAGAATTGTGAGCGGTGCCGCTCCGCCTTTCAAAACGCGGGGGGGGGGGGGGGGGGGGGGGCGAGGGTTGTGACGTTGAGGGGGCGGCAGAAATACGTTGGCGTTGCTTGGCGGGCGGAGGCGCCTCCTACACCTCAAAAGGTCTTCTTGGGCGGAGGAGGTTCCTTGTGGAGGGAGTGTATCAGGCCGTGTGCACCTTAGGGCCTTTCCGTGTGAAGCCATGATACCCCGGTTCCTTGAAGAAACAGCTGAGGCGGGGAGCGGCAGCAGACGGAGCGGTTACTGTGACGGGAAACTGTTGGTGTAACACCCCAAACGCCTAATGACTGGGTTGTAAGAACAAGGGTTTGTTTTCAGTGCTTTAATAATTTCAGGTTTGAATACCTATTGGGCATTTGTCTGGGTCGTTGTACGACTTCCTCCACTGATGCCCTTCGCGTAGGCCTTTAAAGTCTTGAATTCAAGTTGGCCTTTCGTGTGTGTGTCTCTGTGTGTTAAATACCGATCCAGGCACTCCCAAAGAAGCTAAGAAATAAATGGATTTTGGAATGGCATGCAGCTTAATGTATCTACTAACCACTTTCTGTTATATAATAAGTGTATTTTGTCTGTATTTTAAGTACATGAAGTTAATTGCCTTATATAAGCTTCTTAAAAACTTTTACAATGTTAATAATTAAGAATCTGATGAATATCGTAACTATACCGGTATACATGTTTAAATAAAATAGCACCTAGATAGCATTTGCTATTCTTGAAAAATTAAACATGTTTAGATCTGATCAGTCCTTCTATAGGAGGCTTCCAGAAAATCCCAGTGCTGTAAATTAGATTGGAAAATCAAACATATTGAAAGAAGGCATTAGCTAACAATTTCTGTGTTGTTGAAAGAAAAAGACAAGTTCAATTTTTAGTAGCCTTACATTTTTTTTAAGTACACAAAAATTTAAATAATGGAGAAGAGAGTTATCATTTCATCAGCAATAATTCTGATTCAATACCATTTATCCTTCTGGTCCATTTCATCTTAACTTTGAATTGCATGCCAAGGGAAGTAGCTGTAATATTTTTGTATCAGAATGATTGAGATTTATTGTTTTGAGGACACATCTTCCTTTCAACAATTTGTAACCTATCAAGTTTTTGTTCCACAATGTTAAGCAGACAGTAATTTCCATTACTTAAAATAATTTAGTGTAATATCAAATATTAATTTTTCAGTTATATTTTGTAACTTGAAATATAAGTAGCACTAGAAAATATGCATTAATGGTTTTTTTCTTTGTTTATAGAAATTTAGAATCAGTTTGGAATCCAGATTAAACAGAGATGTTTTGCCATTGGTTGATAGTAAGGAGGTAAAGTGGTTTTTTGTAGTTTTTAACATACCATTTTAAATGGTTATATTCCTTTGAATAAAAAGTGAATTGAATTCATAGAATTCTTAACTTGATTCAATAATTTAATCTATAAATTACATTTTTTTAATGTCAGGCAAGTACTTTTTGTCAGAAAATATAGGTAGTTCTTGACTTATGATCACAATTGAATCCAAAATTTCCATTGCTGAGTGAGATAATTCTAAAGTGAATCACTGCAGTTATTAAGTTAGTAACATGCTTGTTAAATGAAACTGGCTTCTAAATTGACTTTGTTTCTCAGAAGGTCGCAAAAGATGATCACATGATCACAGGAACTGCAACTGCCATAAGTATGAGCTAGTTGCCAAGCATCTGAATTTTGATCATGTGACCGTGAGGATGTTGAAATTTTCATAAGTATGAAAAATAATTACGTCACTTGTTTCTATGCTGTTGTAACCTAGAATGATCAAATCTAATTTTATTGGCTTATCCATTCTTAATGTAACGTGTTATTACCCTGAGCAAAACTTTGTGTTCTCTTTGGTTGGCTAACAATGTTTGTTTGTTTGTTTAAGGTTATGTTTCAAGAAACTACAATTGCAGGCAAGAGCATTATCTGGGGCTGATGCTATAAATGCTCTGCGACCATTCTATTTTGCAGTACATCCAGATTTTTTTGGTCAGCATCCCAGAGAAAGGGTAAAAAACTTCTATTTTTTGAGATACAATTCTATGTATTTAAACAAATTTGAATTTTGAACTTACTTAAGACTGCACTATTTAATACTTCTAGATTAACTGAAGTGTGTACTAGTAGCTTGTTAATCTGACATTACTATTGTAATGTAGTATTTTCCACACAAAACATGTGCAAATTGTTTACTATTAAACTATGGTCTATCTGTTTAAAGAGACATCCTTCTATAAAAAATAAAGATTATTCATTTATCATGCTTTTGCAACATATATATGTACTTATAGATCAGACAGAATGGATAAATCAGATTGGTGTAAAAATGAAAGCACCAGGCTACAAACTGGGAGAAACTGGGATACCATGAGTTCTGATCCTGATTTATGAATGAAGCCAGATGGGTTAGATTGAGCCAGTCACTTCCTCTCAGCCTTAGGAAGAAGAAATGGCCCTGAAAATACCAAAAGCACACACTCAGAAAGAACTTGGATATGAGAAAAATATTGCTTACTTACAATAAAGAAATTAAAATGTGTGCAGTTAACTGGAGCCTACTGTAAAACAATGTTCACCTGGAATTTGGCTAATCCCAACCTTCTTAGATTTAGAAAAGCCATTAAAACTTGATATATATTTTTGGCAGACTTGGAAAATGGAAATTACAACATTGGTTGTTGTTTTTTGGCAATTTGGATAACTTATTTATTTGATTGGTGCTGCCCAGACACATAATAGCTATATGGTTTTTGTTAGATATATGTAGTTTGAATTCTGTATATTTATTTAGGTATACGATCTCCTCATAGCATATAATTCTAGTTAGTTTACTTTATTGATTAGTTCTTGGGCCATATCAAAGTGCAGAGTTCCAGACACAAATTATTACTAAAATCTGATAAAAACAATTTAAAATAAAATTGGATAAAATACAATTTAAAATGAAATTGGAATAAAATACAGTTTAATATGAAACTGGAATGAAATAAAATATATTTCGGTATCACCCCAGTGGTGGGTTGCTCCCGGTTCGGACCGGTTCTTGCGAACCGGTAGTAACGGCAGCAGGAGGCTCCGCTCACTCAGCCAGACGTCATCACAAACAATCTGTACATGTGCAGAAACGCGCGCACGTGCTCCCATTGCAAACCGGTAGCAGAGGTAAGTAGAACCCACCCCTGTATCCCCCTATAATCTACCCCAAGCATATGCCGATTTCAACGGAACCATTTTGCTTAAGTACTGTGCTGTGTTAAATGTTATTTTCAGATTCTGGCCGCACATAAGGTAAGTTGTTTTGATATGGGGATATAATTCTACTAAAATAAACATGTAAACAACCTTTCATTAATTGAATGATTTCTGGGATTCTTTGGCAAAGACAATGGCACAGGTGAATTTTTTTCATTTACCATTGAAACAATCATAATGTGTTGCTTAATAGAAATTCTGCAATATTCTAAACAACGCACCATATAATCTTTCATATAACTGAAAAAATCCAGTTAAAGAAAAATATTTCATCATCTGGAATATATTTTATTAATCAAGGTGGTTGTAATCTATTTCTTGGAATACATCTGCTTTAATGTAATCAGCATCTGCATTTTAGTATTTTGTTATTTTCAGGAAATCAATGAAAATTCTCTGAAAAGATTAAATGGTTATTTAGAAAATCTCCAGAAACCAGGCTTCAGATCATTTAAACCAACTCAACTCACTTTTTATGTACGAGAGAGAGAACAAAGCCCTTCCAGTGTCCAAGAACCATTTGGTGCTGCAGGTATTTTTAACATTTGGAATTTTACTAAATCATTGACAGGTTTTGGATAACTGACATTCCTCTTGTGTTTGAAAAATTTTTACATTATGTGCCAGGAAATCTTCAATATATCTCCTTGAAATGATCCCAAATTTCCTTCTGTATCCATAGTGACTTTACTATTCCTTTTGTCAGTATATAAACGCAATATGTACCGATAGTCCTTGAATTATATTCATCCAATGACTGTTAGAAGTTACAATGGTGCTGAATGTACAATGGTTACTGTTAGTTCTTGGAGATATACTTGTCTAAGCACTTGCACCACCATGATCATATGATTTCAGTCTGGGTCTTTGGGTACCCATTTGTACATATGTTGCCAAGCATCTGCAATCACATGATTGCCATTTGCCATCTTCTCTGCTGTTTTACCCAGAAAGATATTGGGGAAGCCAACAGGGAAAGTTGCAAGTTGCTTGGATGGCACTATACACCCTTCTTAAACACATGCAGGGCTCTCATGAACCCCTGCATGCTATACCTGACCTGCTTAGTGCCCCTTGTCTATCTTATACACCCCCCTAACTTCTGAATCAACTCTTTACGCATCCCTGTACACCCTCCCTGATCAGCATGGCACCTCTCATGCAGCTACATGCACCCTTCCTGACCACCTCCACATCCCCTCGCTCTCTTCCTTACCTAGAAGCAGCTACTTGCCTGCTGGGCTGGAATCTGCAACTTTGTGCAGGCTTCACCACTGACTTTGTGGAAAGCCAGCAAGAAGTTGCCTTGCTTAACTGCTTAGGGATTCAGTTGATGATGTCAGCCAGACTTGTGGGGATTGCAATTGCTAAGCTATGCAGTCAGACTTTACATACTTTAATGATAGAAGTTTTAGTCCCAATTGTGGATGTAAGTCAAGGACTAACTGTAAACTGCATAATATCTTGCCTGATTTAGTGGTAGGATATTCATTTGAAACTAAAAGTTACATGCAGCCTTGCACTTCCAAATAGTATATCGGGGCTTAGCTTTTTTCTGTTACTAATATTTTCCTTGTGAGGGGCAGTTTGGTATAGTGGTCAAGGTAGCTAGCAGGCTAGAAACTAGAAGACCATGAGTTCCACCTTCATCACAAAGCAAAATGCATAACCTTGGACTTTTTCTCAATTCTAGGAAAGAGGCCATGTGAAATCACTTAAAAACTTTGTCAGGAAAATTGCAGGGATTTATCCAGGCGGTATTTGAGAATCAGACATGATTAAACAGAAAAAAAAAATCCCTGAGAATGTTATTGTGGAAATAATTGCATAATTAAAAATCATCTCCAGGGGGGAAAAATAGGATATTCTTCTCCAATCTGGTGTCCTTCATGCTGGCTGTTTTAGCTTAATATAACTGGAATGCACCAGGTTGTGAGATTGCTGTAAATGATTAATGTCTATTTTGTTCATTCGTTTTATTCCATTAGTATACTACAGAATTACAGAAGATTATGAAATATAGTAATGGATAAATTATGCATAAAATTGATAATTATTTTGAAATCTCAGTATAATTATGTTTCTATACAGATAGTAGATTTATTTATTTAGAAAGTTTGTATGTTGTCACGCTCTTATTATACTGTGGTTTATATAAAAATAGTATCCATTTATATATTTTTATCAAGCTCTTGCAGATCAAATATCTGACCAAATATAGTGATAATCAAAAATAAGATTAGTAAAGCTCTTTATAGGAAAATATACTGCTATCAATCTTGATACAAGTTCTGCTGAATTCATGCAGCAGAACTTGTATCAAGTATTCTCAATAAAAACCAGATCTTTATAACAATCTCAGACTTAGCATGCTTAACGTTTAGTCTTCAGCTCTGATTTGCATTGTCTTTTAAAGCAAGTATAGAAACTATATAAATGCATTCATTTAAATACAGCTTTGTTCTGTGCATTTCATAGGATTTCGAGCAGTGAGTTTTACTTTGCGCACCAAAGACTTGTTAAGCACAGTGTTAGATATCTTGAACTCCTGCAGTTTATCTACGGATCATGTCCAAAGCTTGAATGGCAGTGTAAATAATCAGTCTACTCAGGAAACCAAAAGAATGTTTCCCAGGCCTATTAAATGGGACAAGACATACTATTCTTTTACTGGATTCAAAGATCCTGAGGAAGAACTGGAGCAAGCCCAGAGGATGGAAACTACCCTGAGGTAGTGATGTAAAAACATGCTCAGTTTACTTCTTTACGAACTATTCTGTTTGAGGCAGAGATCTTTCCCAGCCAATGAGCCCATTGTCTTTCTTTGACCATGCACTTTTATATTTTAAACTTGATATCAGCAAACTACAAGATTTCTGCCTAGAAAACGTCTTCACTTTCATTTTATATCCTCCAATTTTCACTGAATATTGAAGTGAAAGTACTGTATTTGCTTTTTAGATTTAAATTTCTGAAAAACATATTCATTAAACAGGAATGTGTTTTCATTTAACATCTCATGAACAGAGAAGCGTCTATAAGAAAATTCTGTAAAGAAATATAATCCCTCTATGTGCAATAAGTTAGATAGCATTAGAATCTTAAATGCATGTTTACAGCTACAGCGGGACTAGAGAATCTTGGAGGGACGGGTCAGGGGGTTGCTGACTTGTATGCTCAAAAAACCCACTTCCAGTTCAATATTACATAAAATTAGACTATAGCTAATTGTAAATTATGCATAAAATGGATTTTGTACTGGGTCTTTGTATTAGTTATATATTGTTAGTGCTAATAGCCATTAGATATTTTTCTGTTCTCTCATGATTTTTAATTTTTAACTGAGAATAGCAGACTCCCAACAATGTTTTGCTTATTTATTGTGCTGCTAATTTTTAAATGCAGTGGTAATCTGTATTTGTTTCTTACCACCTCTTACCCATGTAGCTCCTGGTTAGATAATAATGAAAAAAGTGCCACGAAGAAGTTGAAGGACAGCTTACCACTCAGAAAAGAATTAGATCGTTTGAAAAATGAACTGTGTCAGCAGTTGCAGCTCTCTGATATTAGGTAATATATTAACTTTTTGGAGAAAAACAAACTTTTTATAGAAGTTTCAAGATAAATAGAAAAATAGATCTAAAATAAATGGACCCTAGCATACATTTTAAATTATGCTAAAACATGTGCTCTGATGAAGATGATTATATATAAAGTATGAGAAAGATAGTGCCATGCCTGGAAACCATAATACTTGTGTGCCTTGAGGATCCAGGCCTGCCACAATCATACCGTGGGAAGTTGGGAGGGGGGATTGCATGAGTGAAGTAGAGATAGCCATAACAAACTTCTCTATGAGAAATTCAAGGCCATGGTGTCCGGCTGCTGTGCAAAAAAAAAATTGGAGGATTTCTTCTGTACGGGAAAGAACTGATTGGAGCTGTATGGACATGTAGGAGATGTGAGCAAGGTCTTGAACTTTCTTGTGGGTAGGAAAATCAGGAAGCTTTCAGATTCAGTTTTTCCCAGATGTGCCAATATGACATCCCTAATAAAAGTTAGCTTTGAGGAACTTCAAGCCTCAGAGTTTGATTTTGTTGGGGGTGTTACTTGGAACCCTGACAGATAGTTTTTACTTTCAAAAAATGCCCTATTTGTATCACAATTGCTTTTCCAAGAAATAATTGCTTGCTTAGTTTTTCTATCAAAGTAGTGGTTACATTTTATGTAAGGCTTATAATGCTCCTCCAAGCATTTTAAGTATTGTTTCTCTTTATTTTTTTTAATTTTATGTAGTACATAAAAAGTTTAGTATTTAGTAGTATATTTTAGTAAAAATATTAAAACATAAGAATATTCTTGTCTACAAACTACCAATTCAATGGTTTCTAAAGGAAGTTATTTCAAAAATCCAATATTTCTTTTTGTAATTTGTAATTAGCCTGTGACCTGATTTTTCTGTGAGTTCACAGGATTTGCTGAAAGACATAATGCAAATGTAACTCTTATATTTGAGGGGTTTATTAAGAAAATTCATTAAGGTAAAAAAACTCACTGCAGAACATCTTACCATAAATCATCATTAATTTATGAGAAATCCGTTGCATTGAGTAAAAAAAAAAATCCGTGGTGTATCTTCTGTAAAGCATTTTCTGAATCTTACCAAACAACTTTCTTCAATCTTTTGTGAAATTGCACAAACCAACCAGTTTTTAGTACTACTCAGACCAATTTAGGTTGGGCACTCTTCCATAAATCTATAAGTTTTTAACAGCCATTACTGTTGTCTTAGAATTTAAAATAACTTTATTGTCACTTTGAATGTACACTAATTGGCATACATTAAAATGAAATTTTGTTGCATACATCTCTCAAAGGGTCACCACCTCCAATATACACTACATAAACATGACAACATACATACATACATACATACATAGTTGTCTGCACCCCCAGATACTTAATACTGTTGACCACCTCTACAGTTTCATCCTTGATACTAAATGGAGTATGACAATCCTGGCTCTTTCTAAAATCTACAGTTATCGCCTTTGTTTTATTAACATTTAGAACCAAGTTACTTTTATTGCACCAGTCCACCAGGGCCTTCACCTCTTCCCTATAAGCATCTTCAGTGTCATCCTGGATAAGACCCACCACTGCTGTGTCATCCGCATACTTCACAATATGATTTGTAGCAGATTTGGCACAGCAATCGTGGATCATCAAGGTGAAAAGTAGCGGACCCAAGACACAGCCCTATGGGGTGCCTGTACTCAAGGAGATGGAGTTGGAAACAAACTGAGGCCTATCAATAAGGAAATCTATATCTATTCTTAGATTCTGCTTGCCATTATATCTCTTCTATCAAAGTTCTGCTAATTCTTGCCAGTCCTCTATCCTTACTTTTTAAGTAAGTAATGTCAATCCAACAGGAATATTCCTTTTTCTACAGAAACATTTTCAACAGGAAATCTGTTCTATATTCAGTTTCTACTTACCTGGTAATGTAAAAAATGTTTGACTGTCTGGGAAGGTGCAGGAATAGCCAGCAGAAGCCAACACTGAAAAAAAGTGTTTATATTTACAGATATTGTTTTCCAGATATGTTTTCTTTTAAAAAATAGCCTTTGTTATTATTTTTAACAAATAAATTTATTTTTGAAATGGGAAAATTTAGGCTGAATCATTAAATCCTTTTGGTACCTATGAACAATTAGTATTTTTAAAGTAATTGAAGATTTTTAGAAGATAAAATGAGATTTCCCATTTTACTGAGAAGGCAATTTCAACTGAGAATTATTACAAGAGAAGGCCCCTTATTATATATATCTATCAGTATTAGACAAAATCAAGTTTCCTCATTTCTTCCTATTCCCCATCTATCACTAAGTAAACATCCAAGTATAATGTATTTTCTTGCACTGGTGCACTTAAGAAAAACCTCCAGTCTTTAATAACGAAATGCTTTTAGCCAAATCCTATACATTTCTATTTAGATAGTGAGCACCACTGCATTCCATTAGTTTACTTTTTCAATTTTTCAATAATTAGTTCAATACAAAAGGCTTTTTAGCTCTATATTCTATTCTCAACAAGGCTACCAATTATAATTTAGAAGGTGGCAAGATTTTACTTTGTGAAAGGTCATCTATCTGTAAACTTAAATTATAGTATAAATAGATACCCATGTTTTTCCCAAAAATAAGACCCAGTCTTATTTCTTTTGGCCTGCAAAAATAAGCCCTAGTGCTTATTTTTGGGGAGGTCTTATTTCTTTTGAGTGCCACCACCGCAAGGCAGAGGATGGAGCTGGCCCACACGCCCAACACCAACTTCCCTCAGGGTCCCTGCAGCCAGGGCATCCATGCCCCAATACCTGCCTCACCACTGGCACGACACCAGAGTAGGAGGCCGATTGATGTGTTGATTTTACAGTCGTGAGGTGAGGCAGTTGTCGGGGCATGTATGACCTGGCTATGGGAGCCCTGAGGTAAGCCAGTGCAGGGCATGTAGGGCAGCTTCACCTCACTGCCTCACCTCATGTCTGTGGCACTGGCATGTTGCTCGGCCTCCTGCTTCGGTGCCACACTGATGCCGGAAGAAAAATTGCTGGCTGCTACATGGGATCCTCCTGCACATGGCTATTGGTGCTGCCGCCATGAGGCAGTTGTAGTGTGGATGGCCTGGCTGTGGGATCCCTGAGGTAAGCCAGTGTACATGTGTGGCAGCTCCACCCCCCCACCTACACACACACCTCACCTCATGTCGGTACCGTGAGCAACTAGACAGAATGGGTGGCTGAGTGGCCACACAGGTGCTTAAGTAGGGCTTATTTTAGGGGTAGGGCTTAGGGTTATATTGGGCTCACATGCAGAAAACATGCTAGGGCTTATTTTTGGGATAGGTCTTATTTTCAGGAAAACGGAGTAGTATCAGTAACTATACTGATGCTGAAGGTTGTAGCTATAGTCTAATTCATCGTTACTATTTAAATAGAAGAAAACTGTTCCTAAACCATCACTTAACTTATTTTTTCTCATCGCTTAAGCTTTCTCTTTAATATTTAAATCTGATAAAGTGAAAGTGCATGATATTATGAAATTGAAATTATTTACATTGCAGTAACATTTAAAGTACTGTTTTTTCAATCAACTATCAATATTATGTATGGCTGACTTCTGGTTGGCACCGCAGGCTCCGTGGACGGTCTTTCAAGACCGCCAGCCCTGCGTCTCCGTAAAAGCCGCTTTGACAGCGCAAATTGGCTGTCTAGCGGCTGAAAAACTCTCCTTTGGGAAAAGAAGGAGAGGAGAGCCGGTGGGCGAGAGTAGAGCTCCCCGAAAGCCCTCTGGAACATTTCCAGAGGCTTGGAGGGTGAGAGCTCCCCAGCCAGTCTGCCAAGAAGCTCCGGAGCCAGGACGACTCTGCAAAGGCAGAGCGAGAAGCCGCGATCCGATCCTGCTTTTAAAAGTGAGTTTGATTGATTGCAAGCGCAGGCAGAGCGGAAAACAGGAGAACAAGCCTTAAAAGTAGAGAGCTTAACTCCGAAATTACTTTGTTTCAACTTGAATCTTATTGAGCTGGAGGCGGAAGATGGCGTCTTTGTTATGGTTTTGAAAGTGAAAGCCAGAAACGAAAGTGCTTGAGAACTTTGCGCTGGGAGAGTAGATTAGCTGCCTATTAACTGCTGGGAACTGAGAGTTTGTGGAGGAAAGAGAAAAAAAAACCTACCCTGTTTGGCAAATTAGAGACTATAAATTACAAACATCTTTAAAGACTTTGTGGCTTTTAAAGAAAAGAGTGGGGGGGAAGGAAAAAAATGGCTTCTAGACAAGTGAAACCAGGAGTTGTTAAAGGAGGGGGAGGTTCTCCAGTTGGTGACACAGAAAGCACAACTTCCGGCTGATTCACAGAGCCAGACTCAGAGTCAAGATGCAGCACTTAATGATTTTAAAGAAGTTATGAAAGAAGCCATGAATAATCAAGCAACAGCAATGAGAGTGTCAGGGCATTTATTAATCCCATGTTTGGCTCTGGGACTAATTACCCTGGTTTAGAGGAGGAGATGAATCGAGGCTTATTCCAAGTTGCAATAATCTGAAAAGAAACACGAGGAAGGTTTCTAATAAAACTCATTTATTTGTTATAAAGAAAATAAAACACCTCACTAACTAAGAAAAGTTAATTGTTACATTTTTGAAAGTAATTCTTGCCGGCTATCTGAGCCGGACCTCTGGCAACAGAACAAAGGAAAGAGTGAGAGAGCAAGTGAAGGAATGTGGGTGGATACGGAAACACGTAGTTTACTGATAAGAAGTTGGCAAAGCTACGGAGAGTCTGACAGTCCAGAAATGATGAGTTCAGCTGGCAAATAAAATAACGCAGTGACATTCCCCTTCTTTTGCCAGTTGAGCGAATATCAGTACATCATCAAATAAGGCACATCTTCTCACGCAGATACTCATGTTGAGCTGCTGGAAGTGGTTTGTTGAGCATATCAGCAATTTGATCATGTGTAGATACATATTGCATTTTGACAAAACCTTTTTTTCACTAAATGCTTTATGTTTTGGTAACGGATGTCAATGTGTCTGGACCTAGAACCTGTGAAATGAGATTCAGAAATATAAATCACCGATTCATTGTCTTCCATCACGGTGATCGGTCGGATCGGGTGTGTCCAGATATCTGTGACTAAAGCATCAAACCAAGTTAGAGAATTACATGCATCTGAAACACAAGCATATTCAGCTTCAGTAGATGAACAAGAAACAAAATTCTGCTTACGTACTTGCCAATAAACAGGACATCCATTTAAGAACATCATATAACCTGAAGTACTTTTACGTGATTTCTTATCACTTGCCCAATCAGAATCTGCATAACAACATAATTCTGCATAATCAGTATATGTTGGTTCTAACAATAACTTCATGTGTTTAGTGTATTTTAGGTATCTCAATAATTTCTTAATACATGTCCAATGAAACTGTTTTGCCTTACCTACGTGTCGAGATAAGAGATTAACACTAAGTGCAGTGTCGGGTCTGGTCCAACTACTAATGTACAATAGTGACCCAATGACTGAACGATAAAGTGTTTGATCCTCGAACTCAGGACTTTCTTCTTGTGTCAAGTTATGAAAATCTGTTTGCATGGGTGTCTTTGTTGTGTTAGCATCCTTCATGTTGCAATGATGCAAAACTTGTTCAATTTTATCTTCTTGTAAAAGACTAAACCCCTTCTGTGTCTTTTCAATCTGAACACCTAAATAAGTGCTAATGTGACCTAATGATTTCAATGTGAAGTATCTCTGCAAAGCTTTGGCAAAAATTTCACTCATTTTCTTATTTGGACCAATATAAACAATATCATCAACATAAACAAGAACTATCTCATATGCATTGTTAGATCTTTTTGTGAACACGCACTCATCAGTTTCGGACTTAATAAAGCCCATTGAATTTAGTTTGTCAGTAAGACATAAATACCACATTAAACCAGATTGTTTCAGACCATAGAGACTTTTGTTTAGGAACCAGGTATCCCCTTCTTGCTGTCGGAATCCTGGAGGACTTCTCACGTAGATCTCTTCGTCTAGGCCTGCATGTAGATAAGCCGTGTCAACATCAAACTGGAAAACTTCTAAACCAAGGATAGTTGCAGTTGCTAAAGCAATTTTTACACTCTCAGTTCTGACTGTCGGTGAGTAAGTATTTGTGTAGTCCTCAGGATAACGTTGAGCGAAACCCTGAGCTACAAGTCTGGCTTTGTACAATGACTCACCATTTGGTTTCTTTTTGATTCTGTAGACCCATCGAGTGCCAATGACCTTTTTGTTTGCTGGAGGTTTTGCAGGTGTAAATACTTTAAGTTTCTTTAGACTGTCCATTTCAACCTGCATTGCATCATACCACTTGTCTTGCTCTGAATCAGGGAGCTGCTTGATTTGTGTGAAATTATCAGGTGGAAGTGTAACATTGCAAATCAAAGGCAAGGGTGCTTTTGTCAGTTGCCAAGAATATCATTGTGGAGGGATCCCTTTTGTGACCCTCTTGGAACGTCTCGGGACAACTGTCCAATCTTCTTCTGCTTTGTCCTTGTCCTCACTTTCGTCGCTAGCGTCAGCATCCGCGGCTTGCGAAGACGGAACATCGGGTTGAGAAGAATCAGTGGAATCTTGATCATCAATCTGCGTGGCATCAGCAGTATCATCTCTAGGAAAATAAACTCCAGGATCATTGGAATGAATCCTGGACCAGTCAATATCTTCTTCAAAATTAGCAGATTGGGAAATCACAATTGCATGTTTAGAGTCAATAAATTTGCTCCACTTTGAATTATCATCAATACCCATAAATCTCAGTCTCTTTGCTGCTGGACTTCCTTTTCTTCTTTGAGCTAAGGGAATGTTCACCATAGCATATGAACCAAAAATATGGATGTTTTTAAGATCAGGCTTGTAGCCATACAACATGAAGAAAGGAGTCTGATTTGTTACACTGCTCCAAGTATGGTTGACAATGTAATTTGCGTACTTGATAGCTTCACCCCAGTATATCTTACCAAGGTTGGCATCTTCTAGGAGACAACGCATCATGGTTTGCAGTACCCCTTGTCTTCGTTCTGCGACTCCATTATGAGCCGGTGTGTAAGGCGCCGACGTCTGATGAATAATTCCATTCTTACGCATCCAGTCCTGGAAACGCTGAGACATGAACTCGGCACCACGATCACTCTGGATTCTGGCGATGCGAACTTGGTGTTGGGTAGAAACAAGGGTTGCAAAGTCTTTAAAGATCTGAAAGGTCTCTGATTTTTCTTTCATAGGATATACATATCCATATCTAGAATAGTTATCAACAATTGTTAGAAAATATTTTCTACCACCAAATGATGGCGGGAAAGGACCAACTATGTCAATGTGAACCAAATCAAAAATGCGTGTTGACAGGCATGTAGCGTGTTTGGGAATGGCTGCTGCTTTGGATTTGGCCTTTTTGCATACAGCGCAATCCAAAAACACCTTACACCCCTTTAGATCCAAACCTTTTGCGAACTCCGGCATCTTCCTAAGAACACGGAAACTGGCATGCCCCAATCTTCTATGCCATTTGTGGATACACCTGGAATGCAAAGGTTTACCTGTTAGTGAATTCTCAACATTAACATTTTTATGCGGAACCTCAGGCTTGCTCTGAGCAACCTGTTTACCAATTCTATTTTTGTTGGCTTTAGGAGCCTTTGGAATAGCAACAGGATCTCTCTCTGGAGCATCTCTATCTGGGCCTGTGCGTTCCCTTTTTGGAGTTTGCATACTTGCCTGTGTTTGTGTTTTAGGCTTTGGCTTTAAGTAATAAACACCACCAATTAATATGGTTTCAGCAACAATATCGCCATCTTTAACTATGTAACTTGCTTTTTCAAGGTGGTGAACCTGGAACTTTAACATTCTAGACAAGTGACACTGACTAAGCAAATTACTGGTTGCTGTTGGTATGTAATAAACATCAGGAATGAATGCATCGAGCTCTTCAACATAAACAGTTCCTTTTCCTTTGACCTGGCAAGAATGATTTGAAAAAGAATAAAGTTCACGTAGTTCTGGTTCTGGCTCGTGCATCTCTGTGAAAAGTTCCTTTCTGTAGGTAACATGCAATGCTGCACCACTGTCCAAAGTCCACAGGAGTCGTCTGTCGTACTCCGGTTGAGGTTGTGGATCATTGGTTAAAGCCAATGTGGCGAGTGGAGTTTGTGGATCACGCCGGGGACCACGACGACCTTGTCTTCCGCCTCTGCCTCTGCCTCTGGAATCTGTTCCTCTGGGCTGGTACGTGACAGGAGCTGGAACTCGTTGGGGACAATCCCGGGTGGCATGTCCCACACGATTGCAGGTGTAGCATCTTGGCGTCCTTGGAGTGTAGGTCCTTCCTCGGAAGGGGCGCCTAGCTGGAGCTCTTGATGCGGGTGGTCCTCTCAAGTGTGGCGTGGCCAACATGAATGCCTCTTCTTCAATTAAAAGTCTACAGACATTGTCCACTGTGCGTTGAGCAATTGGGACTTGGTTAATTTTTGTAACAGCATCTTTTCATTCATAATTCAAAGAGTTAATAATGATGCTGATCATTTGAATATCCTCAATGTTATGGCCTCTTTCTCTCAATTCTGTTCTCAGACCTTTCAGTTTGGTCAAGTGTCCTCCAATTTGTTCACCGGGTTTCAATCTCGAACCGTGGAGTTCAGACATGAGTAAACATGAAGATTCAATTGAGATAGGCCTGTAGCAATTTTCCAGTTCAGCCCAAATTTGTTGGGCTGTTGTATTTGGTGGAAAAGTGACCTGCAGTTCAGTATCCATGGACATCAATAATGTTGTGCGAGCTCTTATCTCTAGATCTCGTATTGCAAAGTCCCATGGTTGTGCAGGAGGGTTAAAAACCATAAAATGAGTGCCTTCTCTAAGAAGCAATAGTGTAATCTCACTGACCCAGGCTTTGTAATTGTGTCCTGACATTTTTAGTTTTGACTCACCAGTTAGTGGAGAGACAGAAAATGCCTGGTAAGGAGCCTGCACTTGGTATGCTGGCTGTGCTGGCAGGAATGCCTGTGGTATTTGCTGTGCCTGTTGTGGACCTAAAAATGGTCTTGGTTGTGCCATTGGTGGTGGGCCAGGAGGTGGCCCTATTTGCACTTGTGGCTGGGGCACATATGCAGGCATTTGTAGCTACTGTGGCTGATGCACTGGAATCTGTGTATTCCAGTTGCCATTTGTGCTTGAGCTGCAATATTGGCATGACCTGCTGGAGATGCAGTCATTTGCCTTTGCTGTGTTCCATCTAAAAAGGCACCATCACCACCAGGGGGTGTTGGAGTTTGAGCCCGTGGAGACACTTGTGGCGTTTCAGCTTGAATCTCTGAGTGAGTTAGAGACAGGTTTGCCAGGGTCTGCTGTAGTAATTTAAAATGTTCATCTAAGCTCCTTTCTCTTTCAGCTTCCTGTAGTAAATTACTTTTGCCAGCAGATGGTGCTGCACCTTTAGCTTCAGGCAGCTCAGTTTCAAGAAATGATTGCGTGGCAGGTTTATATGTAACTTGATCAGGGAGACTTTCATGTGACGTATGCAGTGCTCTCTGGTCTGATTGGCCTGACACAAAATCCACCCGGGGGAGTGTCTTTGGCTCTGAGGAAGAAGACAAGATGGCCTCTTTTGAAAATCTTAAGTCACGGGACTCTGTCTTTTCTTGTTCCAGCATAAACAAATCTCTCTTAAATCGAGACAGTTCATTTTCATAATATTTTACATGCTCACGATAGGATTTGATGGCCATCTCACGCTGGGTGAGCTCAGGGCTTTGAGAAGAGTAATGAATTACTTCTCTCTCTGCGTGGGGGTGAAAAAGCTTTGCCGTTTGTGGAAACTTTCTTGGCCTGGCACCAAGCACATCGTAATCTGTGGGCTCTGGTAGAATAGATTCATAGCATGCAAATTGAGAAGAAAAAGCTACCGACCTCAGTCGCAGTTCATTATCTTCAAAAGCAGCTGTTCTGATATCTGTCCTTTGATGTGTTTCCGAAAGCATTTTCAGATCTTCTTCACCCATGGCACCTTCTTGTTCCAATTGCGTAGCCGTAGCAAGAGGCTGGAATCTTGAGGGCGTTACTATCTCCTGTTCTTCTTCCAAAGAGGATAAAGCTCTGTGCTTCATTTTTCCTTTTTTCTTCTTCTGTTTCGGCATCTTAGCAAAATAATTAGCGTACCTCAGTAGCTAAAAACTAATTGCCTATGCACTCTTATCAGAAGTAACAAAAACAAGGAAAAAGCCATAAATCAAACCGTCCTCGTGCTACCAGATTGTCAGGGCATTTATTAATCCCATGTTTGGCTCTGGGACTAATTACCCTGGTTTAGAGGAGGAGATGAATCGAGGCTTATTCCAAGTTGCAATAATCTGAAAAGAAACGCGAGGAAGGTTTCTAATAAAACTCATTTATTTGTTATAAAGAAAATAAAACACCTCACTAACTAAGAAAAGTTAATTGTTACATTTTTGAAAGTAATTCTTGCCGGCTATCTGAGCTGGACCTCTGGCAACAGAACAAAGGAAAGAGTGAGAGAGCAAGTGAAGGAATGTGGGTGGATACGGAAACACGTAGTTTACTGATAAGAAGTTGGCAAAGCTACGGAGAGTCTGACAGTCCAGAAATGATGAGTTCAGCTGGCAAATAAAATAACGCAGTGACAGAGAGAAGCTATGAATAACCAAGCCACAGCAATGAATAATTTAACACTACTGGTGGAAGAGAAATTTAAGAAAATTGAGGAAGATATAAGTTCGATCAAGGAAGCGGTTGCAGAGGAACACGATAAAATAAGAGATGATATTGTTTTTGCTGTATCAGGATTGTCAAACCTTCTTATCCAGCTTGATGGGAAAGTTGAAGAAATTAATGAAGCCAACTTAAATTTGGAAAGCAAAATGGGTGATGTCATGACCAGAACAGAAAAAGCGGATGATGAATTGGTAATGTTACAATACAGATCCATGGAGTTTGCTCTGAGATTGAGAGGCCTGAAGGAAAATAGTAAAGAAAATTTAAAAGACATTTGTGCTGACGCTATGGCAGAGATAATTAAAAAAAGATCAGAAGATGTGGCAATCCAAATTGATAAAATTTACAGGGTTAATTCCTGGTTGGCAAAACAAAGACAGCTGCCAAGAGATGTGGTGATTTATTTTACAACTAGGAGGATCAGAAATGAAATCCTACAAGCCTCTTACAAGAATAAAGTTCAGGTGGCTGGGCAAGAGGTGGTGGTTTTGAAAGAGATTCCTCCAAAGATGTTGAGAAGTAGAAAAGACTTTGGCTTCCTGGTAAATGAGCTGAGAAATCAACAAGTGGCATACAGATGGGATGTCCCAATTGGTCTAATATTGACTTATAATGGAGAAAGATATCGGTTAAACACAGTTTGGAAGGCAAAAGATTTTTATGTAAATGTTTTACAGGCTGGATACCCACCCTCACCTGGGGCGGGGAGAAAGAAAATGGAAATGGTACAACAAGAAAAAGATGGAAAACAGATAGAAACATATGCTGAAGTTGCAGCTGGAGGAATTATCATGGAAGAAGATTTGGATCTTGGGGGCTTACCCCCAACTTTGGAACCACCTAAGAAGGGAGAGCCGAAAGTACAACGACTGACCCGATCAACTTATAAATTGCAACAACAACAATCAAAAAGGCAACAATCTCAAGATTTATCTCAAGAAGTCCAAAAAACAGAAACAGTGCGGGGGGGCTAGGCCGAAGAGTAAGGTGGAGGAGGAGCTTCAGCTGATGCTCACAAGGCTTTGAAAGGCCAAAGATGGCAACTAAATTCTTATCTTGGAATGTCAATGGCTTAAATTCACCACAAAAAAGAAAGAAAGTATTTCACTACTTGAAACAATTTAACAATGATGTTATTTGCTTGCAAGAAACACATATCAGATTATCAGACCAAAAATATTTGATAAATTCAAGATTAGGTACAAATTTTGTGGCATCAGCGTCAGAGAAGAAAAATGGACTAATCATATATGTAAGGAAAGGACTATCAGCTAACTTAATTGAGGCAGATGATCAAGGAAGATATATTGCAATTGAATTACTAACACAGACTGGAAAAATGCTTTTTATTGGAATATATGCCCCTAATCAGCAACAAGACAAGTTTTATAAATTTTTACATACTAAAATAATACAATGGAACTATAAATCTTTTATATTAATGGGTGATTGGAATGGAGTAATTGACACGCAGAAAGATAAAAAAAGCTTATCAAAGATCTCAACACGTGCAAAACTACCTAAATCCTTTTTTTGATATGATGGAAGATATAGAACTGAGAGATATCTGGAGAGAACGTAACCTGGAGGAAAAAGATTTTACTTTTTTTTCTGATAGACATCAATCCTTCTCCAGGATTGATTTTATACTAACCACAAATGATTTTATTTCCAGGGTGAAGAAGACGAAGATATGTCCAAGAACTTTAACTGATCATAATCCGGTTTGGGTGGAATTTGAACAGGAGAGGAGAGAAAGGAGGTCTTGGAGGTTAAATGAAAACTTATTTAGATATGAAAAAAATGTAAAAGAGCTTAAAAAACAAATGAAAGAATTTTTTGTTATTAATATGAATAAGGGTAGTCCTATGGAAATGGTCTGGGATGCTAGCAAGGCTTATATGAGGGATATCTTAATACATATGAACAATAAATATAGACTAAAACAACAAAAGAAGCGTAAAGAGATAGAGGAAGAAAGAAAGAAAGAACAATTACTTATATCTAATCTAGGAGATAAGAAAGTAAAAGAAACAATAAATATACTACGAGGGCAATTTAATATGTTAATGGCTGATCAGGTGGCAACTAGCTTACAATATGCTAAACATAATACATTTTGTAATTCCAATAAACCTGGTAGGTGGTTGGCCTACATGCTGAGGAAAAAACAGAAATCACGAGTCATTAGTAAGATAGAATATAGAGGTAAGGAAGTTTACCAACAGAATATGATTAAAAAGGCTTTTTTGGAATTTTATACAAAGTTATACGCTAGTGACTCAATACAAGGTATAGACATAGATATTTAAAGGAAGGGAATATTTTGGAATTAACGTTGGAACAGAGGGAAGGATTGAATCAACCAATAACTTCTGAGGAGATCGTTGTGGCAATTAAGCAGTTAAAAACAGGGAAAGCTCCAGGAACAGATGGATTAACAGCTGTTTATTATAAGAATTTACAGCTTGAAATGGTAGAGCCGCTTAGAGCTCTATTTTGTAAAATTCAATTAGGGGGAGGGGTTCCACCCTCTTGGAGAACATCTTTTGTTTCACTGATTCCGAAGGAAGATCAAAACTATATCAAACCTGAAAACTTTAGGCCAATTTCACTTTTGAATACGGATTATAAAATTTTTGCTAAGATATTAGCGAATAGATTAATGCCAGTTATGCAACAAGTTATTCACAATAACCAATCAGGTTTTATAAAAGGGAGGCAGATGAAATATAATGTTAGACAAATTATAAACTTATTGGAATATTTGGAAAAAAATAACCAGGTCCCTGCAGCGTTCATATTCTTGGATGCAGAGAAAGCATTTGATCGATTGAACTGGCAATTCCTGTTTAAAATAATAGAAAAAATGCCCTTTGGGGAGTATTTCATACATTCAATTAGAGCAATATATCAGGAACAAACAGCACAAATAATAATTAATGGAGGTTTAACAGATATGTTTAAAATTGAGAAAGGTACGAGGCAGGGCTGTCCCTTGTCGCCATTGTTGTTTATTTTAACTTTAGAAGTTTTGTTGAATAAGTTATGTGATTCTGATAAAATAAAAGGGATTGTAATTAGACAGCAGGATTATAGACTAAGAGCGTTTGTTCTTACTTTATCTCAACCTATAGAAGCGGCTCCCTATATGTTGGACATAGTAGCTCAATATGGCAAAGTATCTGGATTTAAAGTAAATCTTCACAAGACAAAGATGATAACTAAAAATATGTCCATAACTCAAAGAGAAGATTTAGGGAGAATAACGGGGTTTAAAAGTAGTTAAAAAGTATCTAGGAGTATATATTGCAGTCTCAAACACGAAATTGTTTAAAAATAATTATGAAACTCTTTGGCAAAAAGTACAGAAAGAAATGGAAAATTGGAAAAAGTTACAATTATCACTACTGGGAAGGATAGCAGCAATAAAAATGAATGTACTACCTAGGTTTTTATTTTTGTTCCAAATGATACCAGTGCTTAAAAAAGGTGGAAATCTCATGGAATGGCAGAAAGGGGTTAATACTTTCATTTGGGCTGGGAAGAAACCAAGAGTGAAACTGAAAATTATACAGGATATACGTGAGAGAGGAGGTCTTAAAATGCCTAACTTAAGATTGTATTATGAAGCAGCAGCTTTATCGCAAATTAGTGATTGGTTTAACTTAACTGAAGAAAGAATGTTAAACATAGAAGGTTATGATTTGTTATATGGATGGCATGCTTATTTGTTATATGAAAAAAAAGTGGATAAAGTGTTTAAGGGTCATATACTCAGAAATGCATTGTTGAGGGTTTGGAAAAAGTACCAATACAAGCTGAACTATAAGATACCTATATGGGCAAATCCCAGACATGCAATAGAAAATATAAGTATAGAGCAAAGAATAGAGGTGATTACTTATAAAGAGCTTCTTCTTTTGGAAAGGGGTAAGTTGCAACTGAAATCCCTAGATGAATTAAAAGAAGAAGGGATAATTTATACTTGGTTTCAGTATGGTCAGCTTCAAGCTAGATGGAGGGAGGATCAAAAAATTGGTGTTATGCAAAATGAGGAAAATCTGGTGAAACAGATTAGAGATCAAAGTCAGATGCATATTAAAAGGTTGTATAATGCATTATTGGGAATAGATTCAGAAACAGAATTGGTTAAGGATTGTATGATAAAATGGGCACAAAATTTTCAGGAACCAGTGATGATGGAAACGGAAAAGATTTGGGTCAGAAATGTTAAATTTACGCAAGCACAAAATTTGAGAATTTTTATAAAATGTTTTATAGATGGCACTTAGATCCTAAAAAATTATCATGTATGTACTCGAATTTGCAAGCTAAATGTTGGAGATGTGAATGTAATGATGCAACCTATTATCATATATGGTGGACCTGTAAGAAAATCAAGGCATTTTGGATAAAAAATTGGTGGGTGATGCAGAACATTTTGAAAAGAAGGTTGAAATTTACTCCTCAATTGTTTCTATTGGGTATAACTACGGACTGTACAGTATCAGAGACTAAATTGATTTTGAACTTAATATCAGCAGCTAGGCTGTTGGTAGCTAAATATTGGAAGAAGGACTTTTTGCCTACTATTGAAAAGTGGATATTGAAAGTAACAAACCTAGCAGAAATGGTAAAAATCTCAGCGTACTTGAAGGACCACACGCAAGAAAGATATGTATCGGAATGGAGAAGATGGATTGATTATATTCAAAATAAGTATCAGACAAGAAAATATCAAATAGCTTATGAATGAATGTTAGTATTAGAAGTATTAGGTTATCTATAGTGGAGTTAAGGTTTCAGGGGGGGAGTTAGTACTTTGAGGATAAGTAGATTAATCTAGTTTATGCTGATTAAATGAAATACCTTGTATTTTGCTCTGGGAAGTCTGGGGGGAGGGGGGATGAGGGGGGGAAAGAGTGGAGGGAATATGGGGGGGAAGAAAATTTTTGTATTTTTTTTTTTTTTGTAAAACTTTTCAATAAAAAAAAAATTATGTATGGCTGTAAAATTTTCAAATAAATAAAAATTTGAATTGTTTTTTTAGATGGCAGAGGAGTTGGGGTATTGCTCATCGATGTAGCCAGTTACATAGCCTAAGTCGCTTAGCACACCAGAGTCCAGAAGCACCTAAGAATGCTAAAGGTACATTTTCCTATTACAGTTTTCTTTAGTTGTAATTTCATTAACCAAAAGAATTCAGAACATTAAGCTTAATACAAAGCATATTAACACAGATCTAGTAAAGTTGCCTCTTTTTTTTCAAGATAGAAATTATAGTAATATATTTGTCCTAAAGAAACTCCATCTCTTTACACCTGTAAGCACAGTTTTCCTCAACAATTTATCTTGAATTCCAATAACTAAGTATATTTACCTTTGTTGTATTCTGCTCTCCAAGGTGATTTGAACTGTTGAAAACACAACTCGTAGGCAAAGAACGAGGTTGTAAACGGGTTTACTTTTCATTTCTTGGAGCAGTCACACACGAACGTTATTGACAAACTTAAAGTCGGCGTTGGGAGCGGCTGCCTCCCAACGCTCTTTATACAAACTCAAAATAAGCCGGGTGCACTATTAGCCAATCGGCGTTGCTTCCGGGTACCGCCCTTTTTTGGGACGGCGGCCGGTGACAGCTCCCTACGCTGCTCCGGCTGCGGGGTGACCATCTGCCTTCGAGTATGGGACTAACACCAGCCACCTGCCCTTCACCAACGTGCACAGCTAAGGTTATTAGTCACATCCCCCCACTACCACCAGACATCATTGCAGCAGCCTGCTTCTTGGATTCCTTCGTTTGTCAGGGTGTCCCCATTTCAGCAACGAATCTGCAGAGACTCCCCTCCCCACACTATGTCGAGACAGCTTGACTCTTGACAGGCGGCCCCCTCTACCAGGAGTCCACCTGTAAAACACGAAAGAGATAGGTTAGATTGTGGGACCCGGTTTGTGGGGGGTTGTTTTTGTGATAATGCTTCAATAGCTTAGGAGCTTTTAGGTCCATGTCTGCCACCCAGGAGGCCTCAGCTAAAGGATATCCCTTCCACTTCACCAGATATTGAAGCTCACCCTTACGGATCTGGGAATCAAGAATGCCATCTAATTCGTAGTGATCGTTCACTACAGGACCTGGACCCTGTGTACCCCCTCCGTTTGCTATAGGTTTCAAAAAACTACAGTGAAAAGTGGGGTGAATTTTTCCCAAATGTGGTAATTTCAGGATTACCGTAACTGGATTGATTACCCTTTGGATCCTGAATGGGCCCAGATATTGGGGTCCAAGTTTTTTACACGGGGTTTTCAACTTTATATACTTAGTAGACAGGTAAATGAGATCCCCTATTTGAAATGGTTTATGGTCAGCTCGTTTCTTGTCCGCTTGCACTTTATACTCATTAGTCGCCTTGTTTAGGGCTGCTTTTATCTGCGGCCACACTACTTATATTGGTGCTCCATTCAGCTGGAGCTGGGGTTATTTGTCCCGGAATCGGATCATTTAATTCGGGAATAGCATTGAACTCCTTTCCAGTGACAATTTTGAAGGGAGATGCTCCGGTACTTCGATGCAGGGTGTTGTTGTATGCTACTTCAGCAAACGATAACAGGTCTGACCAATCGTATTGTTGATAGGACACGTAGCACTGTAAGTAACGCTCTACCATTGCGTTTGCTCGTTCTGCTGCGCCATTAGTACTGGGATGGTAGGCTATACTCAGTCCTTGAGAAAAGCCAATCAGGGTTATGAAGTTACGCCAGAACCGTGCCGTAAATTGAACCCCCCTATCCTAGATGATACATTGTGGAACCCCATGTAGCCAATACATGTGTTGGACAAACATCTTTGAGAGTTTCTGGGCTGAAGGTAATCCTTTACATGGAACAAAGTGCGCTTGCTTGGAAAAAAGATCGTCAGTGGTCCAAATTACGGTATTTCCATCACTCTCCGGAAGCTCCACGATAAAATCCATAGCGATTTCCTCCCAAGGGCCTGTAGGATTGGCTACAGGCTGTAAGAGACCCAAGGGTCGACCGGGCTTTGGTTTAGTCATTGCACATATAGAACACTCTCTAACATTGTTTAATATCCTTGTGCATTTGAGGCCACCAGAATTGCCGCCTAGTTAGATGTAGAGTTTTAAGGAACCCGAAATGACCACCCAATTTTGAGTCGTGACAACGCCGTAATATTGATCGGTGTAAAGCCCCCGGCACATAAATCCGAGACCCCATCCAAGCCAACCCATTGCGGTGTGTCAATATGGATTTGTGAGTTTGGGCCCATGAGTCTTTCGCTCTTTCACTACGCAGATCCTCTTGCCATACGTTGTCCTTAGCCTGTAAGGAGGGTTCGGCTGGGGTTTTAGGTATCATCGCTTGGACAATATCCTCTCTTTTGCTATGAAATTGGGGCATACGTGACAAGGCATCTGCTAGGAAGTTTTTCCCTCCTGGTACATATTTCAGGTCGAAGTTGAATCGTTGGAAATACTGTGCCCAGCGCACCTGTTTGGGGGACAGTTTTCTGGGCGTCTGGAGAGCCTGTAGGTTTTTATGGTCCGTCCATACTTCAAATTTGGTGCCACTCCCCTCCAAGAGATGCCGCCACGTAAGTAATGCCCAGCGAACGGCGAAGGCCTCTTTCTCCCAGATCGCCCAAGCTCTTTCACTTGATGTTAGTTTGCGAGACGTGTAGGCACATGGATACAGCACTTCCCCCTCCCCTTTTTGCAGTAATACCGCTCCTACAGCCACGTCGCTGGCGTCCGCCTGCACAATAAACATGAGGGCTGGATTAGGGTGTTTCAAAACCGGCTCCCGAGCAAAGAGACTTTTTAGCTGTTCAAAAGCTTGCTGACACTCGATTGTCCAGTTTAACGTTTGGCTGGGTTTGGCCTTCGTACCAGTATGTTTGGTACGCAATAGATCCGTTAGCGGTAACGCCACTTGGGCGAAGGCTGGAATAAATTGTCTATAAAAGTTGGCAAAGCCAAGGAAACTCTGTAGTTGTTTCCTTGTGGTAGGGGCTTGTCATTCTAGGACTGTTTTTACTTTGTTCGGATCCATTTCCACCCCAGTTCCCGAAATGCGATATCCTAAATAATCTAGCTGGGTGCGATGGAAGTCGCATTTGGACAACTTTACAAAGAGGCGTGCAGCCAGCAATTTGTTTAGCACTTGGCGTACCAATCGCATGTGTTCCTCCATTGTTTTAGTGTATATCAGAATATCATCTAGATATATCAGTACTCCGCGGTAAAGATGCTCATGCAATACCTTGTTAATAACCTGCATGAATATGGCCGGTGCACCTTGTAATCCAAACGGCATTACTTTGAACTTATAACTGCCTAATGGGCAATTAAAGGTGGTTTTCCACTCATCGCTTTGCTTTATACGGACATGGTAATATGCTTCACACAGGTCAAGTTTTGTGAAGATCTTTCCCGTAGACAGTACCACCAGGAGATCTTTGATTAACGGTAGAGGGTATAGGTATTCTACGCACACTGCGTTCAAATCTCGAAAGTCCACACAAAGACGGAGACTCCCGTCTTTCTTTTTCCGGAATAATACAGGGGCAGCCATCCGTGACCTGCTGGGCTCGATAAACCCTCTCGCCAAATTCTGATCTTATGTATTTCTGGAGTTCTTCCAACTCAGGTGGTGTCATCCTGTACATTCGAAGTTTTGGTAGTTTGAACCCCGGGAGTAATTCGATAGCACAGTCAGTGGTTCTATGGGGAGGGGTAATACCTCAGCCCCCTCCTCATTAAACACCTCCCTCAAGTCTTCGTACACCTCCGGGAACTTCCCCGACACTTCCCCATGGGCTCTGGCTGGCTCGGCCTGTTCTTCTGACTCTGTCTTTGACCCAAGAACCAGTCGTAATTTCCGATAACCCCCTTCTCACCATATATGGGGTTTCCACTTATCCAGCCAGGCCAACCCCAAAATAAATGGTTCAATCATTCGTTCTATGATCACAAACCTTATAGTTTCTTTGTGCTCCCCTATTTGTAATTCCACAGGTTCGGTAACGTGTTTGGATGGAGACCCGCCTAACACCAACCCATCCATCTGCTCAAAACGTATAGGGGTTTTCAACTGCACTTTGCGTAGTCCCAGGTCATCGACTATTGCTCTGCTCATTAAACATCGAGTGCACCCTGAATCTATCAATGCGCCCCTGTGACTCGCTTGGGAGGTACGCAGGTTCCGTATGACAACTGGTATCACAAAGGGGCAAACGGGTGCACTTACCATGGGATCGTTTGGATCACTGTCCTCTTCATCAATTGTAGTTATGGGGCCTTCCTCCGTTCCCACGGGGCTCTTTACTTCTTGGGGTTTGGAATGTGGACCACCACGTGGACTTTGAGTGGCCAACTGGGATTGATCTGGACTTGTACGAGCTCAGCCCCTGGGTGTGCGACCCACCCCAGTTGTAGTCATCCTGGTCTGGACAGGAGGTAGAGGGCAGTCCAGCGCTTGATGACCTGGTTGGTCGCAGCGGAAACAGCGAAACGTGCCACGGCCTGCCAACTCAGCCGGTTGCACGGGAAAAGAACTGTTCCAACCTGGAGCTCTCGGAATGGGCGGCCTCTCCACCGGGCGTCATTGCTGGGTAATGTCGCCTTCCCCCCCCCAAGGCCTAAACTCCCGTAACCCAACATCCAGGTCTATGGCTGCCTTGAACCACTCCGTTAAACGAGGTGGTAACCCTCTATAAACACATGCTTGTCTAATTTCTTTATCCAACCCCAGCCGAAAATGATGCACTAACAATCGATCTGGCCAGGATCGAAGCTGTCCTGCAAGAGCCCTAAACTCCTTTATATATTCCCTAATGGGATGCCCCCTTTGTTTTAAGGATACTAACTCCCCCTCCACCACCTGGTACGAGTGTCATCCTCAAATTGGCTCCTTAATGCTTCTAAAAATAAGCCAACATCGATTAGTTCCCTTGCGTGGTCGGTAGGGAGGTCCGCAACCCAATCTGCGGCCTCCCCTGATAACATGTTCGTAATAGCGACCACCATAGACCATTGAGAGGGGTATAAGTGTCCATAGAGATCTAGATAACTGAGCACCTGACTCAAAAAGATGGACACACGGTCAGCGCTCCCATCGAATGTGGTTTGTAACGGAGTGGGTCCCCAGACCTGCTGCTGGCCAGATAGGTAGAGGACGGGCCTCCCTTGTATCCCTCCTGTCCTCCCTTCGTGATCCCTCATGCTGCCGGGCCCCGTCATACCCTGTAGTGACTACACCCTGTCGTCTGGGTTCCTCTTGATCTAACCCTCTCAGGGCACCCCCCCATAGATGTGGTGGTTGGTGTCGCTGTCAGTTGATCCGTTTGCTGGGGCCGGCCTTTAGCTAGTCGTAGTTTCGGGCTAGCCAAATGGAAACGGCTGTCCGTGCCTCTAGGTCCCCCCCCCCCCCGCCAAGCCGCTGAAGCTTCCGTTCCAGCCATCCACGGTTGCCACGAAGGAGCATCCCGAAAGCTCGCTTCTCTGAATCTCTCCCTCAGTATATCAAGCGTTGAGGATCCCAGGCCCGTAGAGTAACTCCATTCTCCGTCATCGTCCTCAATCCAGTGTCGCTCCCGCCAACACCTCCCGGACGGGGTTTTGAAGATGTGGCTATCCCGACACCCTTCAGGGTGGGGCTATGCCACCACTCCGCCGACAACGTCTTCTTCCCATTGGCGCCCGCAGCCTCTGCCAGCGCTTCATGCACCCCCACCCCTTGTTGAGACGACCTATCCTTCGGCCTCACAACAGGCGGGTCAGGTTCGCTGGGTGCGTCTGAAACCACCTCCATGGCCGCGGCTTCGGCCCCATCTCCCAACACCGGGGTTCCAGCCTCCACACTCTCCGCCATCTCGTCCCAGAGAAATGAGAAGGGAAATGGAAACGCCGACTTTCTGTCGTATTTGCTCTCCAAGGTGATTCAAACCGTTGAAAACACAACTATAGTCTTAACCTGTTTGCCTAACTTAGAACACTTCCACATGGCACCATTTATACTTTCTATTTCCACTTCTAATTCCTCATCAATGTTAATTGTTTTTCTCTTCTGCTAACTTTCAAACTTCGGAAATAGCAGAAAACACCATGAGTCAATTAGCTTTACCCTAATAATGGCAGCTCCTAGAATAAAAATGTATCTTTGCTCCTGCTCCATAGAGAAAGAGGATTGAAATACTATTCTGTCTTCCCATCAGCCGATATTATATTTATATATGCTGTACACATCTGATCCATTTTGGAAAAAAAAAAATCTCAGTGTATTCAAGAAAGTTTCATTCTCTAGCATATGTCTTCCTTTTCTGTGAAATGACCATTCCCATATCCACCCTGAACTATGATTTCTCTTTCCAACAGGACAAACAGTGATATTTACAGACCGCTCAGGAATGAATGCAACAGGCTATGTTATGCTAGGAACAATGGACGTTCATCACCATTGGACCAAAGTAGGATTTCTTTTAGTACTCAGCATATGGGTCGGTCAGTCTGTCTGTCAGTCTGTCTGTCTGTCTGTCTGTCTATCCTAATCTAATCTAATCTAATCTAATCTAATCTAATCTAATCTGTCTATCATCTAATTTATTTATTACCTGAGATTGTGTTCATTATACACTCTAGATGGCTTTTATCCACCACGGTAATACATAAAAAATAGTCACATAGTCAAATAATCATTAAAACATAATCTCACCTCTAAACAACCATTTCCAACTTGATAACTGTTCCATTCCAATGGCATTCCCTGCACAGAATGCTCTCTGAAATATTTGTTTATTTATAGAAAGCAAGAAAAATCAGACCAAGTAGATGCAAAAAATTGTCACTAAGAAATCTTAATAATAGTTTGATAAATTAGTGTCTATATATTTACCATTTAATATGTTAAAAAAATAATTTGTTTGGAATTAGTTTCAATGTGTCTCTTAACACTGGTAAAGGGGGCAATGTTGGGATGCATTTATTCTCTGATTGGCTTTTGAACTCTTCCCTTGCTTCAGAGGAAAGCTGACATATGCATCAGCACTTTAGTTAATTGCAAGTATGACTTCTCATGTTTCTGCACATTAATATTTTGGGGAGCACAAATAATATAAACTAAAATAGCAAGTAGAGTATTGTATATAGTAATACTAGTGTCCCCTGTGTATATTATTTCTTTTGAAAAATTACACCAGCTTTTTCCAACAAGTTTGTAGAAGTGAAAATTGTACAAAAATATCTGGGCAAATTGTGTTGAATATATAACAATGTTCATTATAGTAACAACTAGAAACTGGTGTGTACCTTTTTAAAAATTAGTTTAATGCTGACGTATTTTCTAAAACTGCTTATTTTGGCGAATTGGAGGAGTGTTTAATTCTGTCATGAACTTTTAAGAAAATCTTTCATTTTGTGCAGATTTTTGAGAGGTTGCCAAGTTACTCTACACTGCAAAAAAAAGTGCTGTTTCTAGAGGAGCGCATTAGCCAACTTTTGGGAGGCATACAAATAACTTATGTTGAAGAGCTTCAGCCAATGTTGACAATTGAAGAGTATTATTCTATTCTTGACAACTTTTATGATCAAGTGCATAATAAGAGACTTCCATTTCACCCTAATAGTCTGCGTGGATTGCAAATGATTCTAGAAAGGTGTGTATCTAAAGAAGTAGATATTGTTTCCTAGGTTTATCTTTAATGATAGTTATATTGTAGTCAGTTTTTCAGAAATACCTATTTTGGCTAAGATCAGAGCACATATGGGGGTGGGGAAATGGGGGGAAAGTGCTTGGACATAAAGACATTTTAGTTCCTGCTGTTGGATATAGTTGCTGAAAAGGAGACCTGTGTAGGAAGCCACCTAATTTATTTCAAGGGCTGAATCTCATGCTTTGAGAATAGTCCACCTTCCCAGGCTGCTCTAGTGATAGTGTGTTCTAATTTATTTCCAGTCCTGAATTATAATTTAAGGAAAAAACAATAACAATGTTCTGTTTTCCTTCAGGAGATTACCCCAAAAATTGTGCTTAGTCATCTGTTTTTCTTTTTTCCAATTGATGTAGTTGCACCCTGACTCTTGGTGACAAGTTCCTGCAATACCCTTGATAATTTTTTTGAAAATGACTTTGCTATAACTTCTTCCTAGGGCCTCTTAGTACCCAGGGATAAAAACACATAGCCAAAGTCACCTGGCTGATTTACATGCTTAACATGGGATTATAATCTACTATAATCTCTATACTAAACTGTTACTCCTTTGACTGCATGCATTATAGTCCTGTTGTTCCAGTTCTGTAGAGTGGGAATGAACTGATCATTTGCACAAGGAGAAACCATTTCAATCCAAATCACTTTCTTGAATTTCTTGCCATTCCTTTTGATAGTAACAACTTCAGTATCTCCCTAACTGATCAAAACCCTTTTCTTGAATCTGACATCATATCATAGATCTATCATGCTACACAGTTCAGGCAGTAACCACCAGGACATAATTCCACTCCCTGTGCAAAATATATCAGAATATCTTGATATTTTATGTAACAACAGTTTTTTTAAAGACTGGGTTATCTTTACTTTTGTAAAAGTGTTGACAAATGAATATTCCTGGCTTTTTTAGGTGTTTTTGTATCCAAAATTTATTACTTGCTTCCAAAGTGTTTCCAGAATTTCCAGTATCATTAATAGACCTGTCATTTTCCTATTATTACTCAGTGTCTTCAGCTGGCAGAGCAGTCTCTTTCTTTGCCTCTCATGATTTTGTCACCCATCCTTCATGCTGTGACTGTGGTTACTGAATGTGGTCTGATTACAAAGATCTCTCTGAATGAAGATGGACCTTTCGATCACTGAACCAATTGTTCTTCTTTCTTCCCTGCCCAACATATCATTTTACATAGGCAGCAAAAGTTTTTGTTCTGTTTGATGTAGCTATTTGCAATAAAATGAAGCTTCAGAACTTAACATCAGTGCAAACTTAATGGAGTTTTGAATCAGGACAAGATTGGTTACTATCATATCTTTCACCCTCTTTAAATGGTAGCCTAATCATGACATAGCTCCACTGGAAAATATTCCTGGGCCATCTATTAGAGTGTTTTATGTGAAAATCTATAGCTATAATTGGAAGGAAATTTCTTTCCTAATTTTCTCTCTTTTTCTCTCTCACTCTCACTTTCTATCACACACACAACACATACCTGCATGCATGCACATACTATTACTTCAGTGCTGTGCTAAACTAACTTTGAAATTTTGCATTCATTGGAAATAACCAATAACTAATAAATAAGACCTGCTGTTATTGCCATTTTACCTAATACTTTATGTAAAGCTTTTTAATTCATGAATAAGGTCAGTCTTAATCTGGAACATCATATATGTTACCCAATTCACTACATCTGTTTCCATTGCTTCATTTTCTACAAATGCATATCCATTATATTATTTCAGTTTAATTCTTTATGTTGGTTCTCTGCTTCAGAACTCTATGTACATATCAAAATATTTTTAAAGTGATATATTTTGGAAAATACTTAAATAGCAAGAAGTTTTAAAAGGAATACTTAGTATATGATCCACAGAAATTAATTTAAGCCAACTTTCCCATTTTCAAAAAGAAATCCCTATTTTGTAGAACAAACAAATTGTATGTTAGCAGGCAGTTTTGTAGTTGAGGATAAATAGAGAGACTAATATTATTAACAAGTTTGAAGACATACAATGTTAAAGGCATGGCTATACCACAAGATACATTTTGAAAAATATATATATGTTGAAAATTGGCAGAGTTCTAGTTATGTTAAGTTTTAGGAAATTATTATTAATTTTTGGGGTATCACAAAACTATTATTATTGATGGGATATCTGTGACCATGTTTCATTTGGTTTTAGGCACATCATCAGAATATTAGAAACCTGAAGCTTTTTAAATAATAAATGTGTATGTTTCTATTCTTTTCTATGTTTGTTTAGATCATTTATCAGACTATAGTAAAGTGTATTTAATGAATGTCACTGGCTAATCAGTGTGCATTTGTGACTGAATTTAGAAAAAGTCTTCAATAAAGCTACAGATTTCTTAATAAGGATTTCTATTGCAGAGCTTCTGAAAAAGGATCATTTCAAAACATTCTGGCATTTTATGTGTTGAACAATTATTTTAATTAAAGTCTTTCCTGCTTCAGATCTTTCCTTAAAAAATAGAGCAATAAAAAAGCAGTCACTTAAAATGAAGGAAGAACAGGCTACAAATAAAAATCATTATAAATCATTTTAAAGTAATGCATTTCCAACTTCTCTCTTGTACAACACTCTTCAAACCACATTCCACAGACTGGAATAGCTAGCAATACAAAAACCTTTCCTCAAGATCTCCATATTCCACATGTTCTCAGGGCACTGAGGAGGCTCTGAGGCACTGAGGAGGCTCTGAGCTTTAAATCAGCCATAAAATTTTCCTAGCATAATTATTTTCTCTTATTCCAGAAATAAACTGGAAGAAGATAATTCTTTCCCTTAGGGTTACAGAATTACCAAAACAATAACAATTTTCTGCATGTCCTAAAATACACATCCTCCATCTTATAGTCTTCTAGTATGCAAAGCAGACTTGGAAGTCAGAAAGATTAAATGATAAATACAAAAGTCTGCTAATTATGAAATCAAAGCTGCTAAAGTACTAGGGGTGTAACTTGTTTAATATATTTAATTGGGTGGAGATTATATTGTGGTATTCTGTTAAATCACTGCATATTTCCCAAAATTTATACAGCTTATTTTCTTTTTAATTATGCTTGTTTGATATGAAGATCACATAATTTTGTCTACAAATAACAAGATCAACTTGTTTGTTCTTTTCTTTATGCAGTGACAGATATGCACCAAGTCTTCATGAACTTGGTTACTTTATCATCCCAGTAGTCTGTGATCTAGTAACTCTTCAGTGGTTTATCATGGACAAAACTCACCAAGCAAGAGAAAAACTGAAAAGAAAGGAAGAGTAAGTATTATTGAAAAGACACATTCTAGTCTGTATTTAATAACTTGAGAAGTTCCAAGACAACACTCCACAGCATGTGTAAATAAAAATGAATATTAGTCTACAAGATTCTCTTGTACCCAGAAGTTTCTTATGCTCTTGAGTCTTAATTTATAGAGTAGTGTACATATATGTATATTTAAATTATTAAGTAATAAATAATTAAATTAATAAGTATTTACTTATTATGTAGATACATACATATAAACCAGATTTTAAGGGAATAATAAACTTGTAGTAATGTAGTAATTGTAATCAGTGTTAGCCAGTTGTTAAGCAAACCTTTCAAATTAATTATAACATTGAATTTGAAATTGAATTTGAAAAAATGTGGAATAGGAGACACTTGAGAAAGTACTTGAGAAGATAATTGAGAAATACTTCAACTACTATATATTTTCATATTTTTTAAACTCATCTTTGAAAGAATGTTGCAGATTATTTGCAGTTTGAGAAAGGGAAACTAATTATGATTTTTTTAGTAATTCCAAAAATGCAGTCATTTTAAAGCCAAGAACTGATTTGCTGACTTCACTTGTGTTTTATAATATTAAGGTGTGCATGGGATGTTTACAATTTCAGGTCCATACTACTAGAAAAGAAGCTGATCAAGACTGCCACAGATAAATTTTGTCTTCAACAGCTATATAAAGAACCCAGTGTTTCCAGTGCACAGATGATTCATTCATGCAGCAATCTATTGGAAGAACCATTGCCATATTTGCAAGGTATGCATCTCTGCATTTCCCACTTCTTTTCTGTTCTGCAAGATGGAGACCTCTGTATCCCTTGGAACTGGAAAAACTGAAAGTAAATGCTGCTATATTCAATGTAAAAGAGAACAAATGTCATTTATGCATTGGTATAAATTACTAAATTGAATATTTTCCAAACTAAATTATGAATAAAAATTTCATGCCAGTATTAGGAAGCAAGGCAGAGCATTTCTCTGGATTTTTCTGTTTTCTGTTGTTCAGAAAATTGCAAAGTATTATGTCTGCGTTTTTTGTTGTTGTTGTTTTGCAAGACTATATATTTAAGGGGAGTTGAATCTCTCCATTAAGTTGCATATGACTGGGTTTCAAGACTGTAATGAAACTATATAGTGGGGAATGAGGTACACAAACTTTGAATGTAATCCAGGTAGCACACAAATGTGAATCTTACATGTTAAAGTATATATATTCCCATGTAATACATGAACATGTGGATTTCAGTAAGCACAAATTGTGTTTGGAGAAGCCTTCTTAGAATGAAAAATGGTCATTGAAATTATTCTGTGGTGGAAATGTTCTTGAAAATAAATATTTCTGCAGCAGCCTAGTGGTAAATATTACTGATATACTGTATTTATTTTGCAGAATTATTGTACACCTTGTTTGAGAAAATTTTATAAAGGTCTGTTGAAATGTTTTGTCTGTTAGATCTTGCACTTTATATTTTTCATGTAAATAAAAGTAGCTCTATATATGGTCAATTCTTTCTGAGCATGAATTTTAAGCATTTCTGCTTTTGATTAAGATAGTAATATGTGCTTCTTTGAAGGCACTTCAGTAGATATTCCTTGAGACTTTTAGGTCAGTTTACCTCATGCCTTTACAGAATGCAGCTACTGAGGACCTATTAGCTTTGCTGCCATTCAGTCATATGTTTTTCATATCTGATCCAGGTTGATTAGGCCTGAGAAGCCTTCTGGGCAGCCCTGATATACTTACATGCTACTTCATCAGTAATGTAGACTACACTATGTCCTTACAGAATCGACCTGCATATATGATTGGGTCAGTGGTGAAATGTAAAATTTGTTACTACCGGTTCTGTGGACATGGCTTTGGGGGGCGGGGGGGGGGGGGAAATGTGACTGGGTGGGCATGACTACCTTTTTTTTTTTTTACTTTTAAAAGCATTTTTTCTACAACCTTAAGAGGTTGTAGAAAAAAAATGCTTTTAGAAGCCTCTGATGATCAGGCAACTCAGCTGGGATTGCCAGAGGCTTTTAAAGGCATTTTTTTTTCTACAACCTCTTTGTCCAAAGAGGTTGCAGAAATAAAATGCTTTTAAAAGCCTCTGACAATCCCAGCTGAGCCATGCGATCATCAGAGGCTTTTCTTTTTACTTTTAAAAGCATTTTTCGTCTGAAGAGGTTGTAGAAAAAATGCTTTTAAAAGTAAAAAAAAAAAAAGCCTCTGATGATTGCGCGGCTCAGCTGGGCATGCAGGGGGCCAGGGATTTTTGCTACCAGTTCTCCAAACCACCGGCCGCCATCGCTACCGGATCGGGTGATCCGGTCCGCACCGGGAGCATTTCACCCCTGGATTGGATGCTGTATAAAAGATACTTGAAGAAAAATATTTTAGGATCCACTATGGCAGAGGAGAAAGCCTCTGCCTAATTTATGCTAATTAGGGTCTCTTCCTGCTAGGCATGCAAACTAGTGAGGAGGATCACCTTACATGGAACTTCCCAGTGTTTGAGACTGGGATGGACCTGTGGGAAGCTAAAAGCATGCTGAGCACATGTTTTACAATGTTTAGATAGATTACTGTTTCCCAATTGAGTACTGTACCTTTCAGACACGTTGAGCCATGATTAACATCCTGACTGAGGTTGGCAGAAATTGTAGGCCACTCAGTTTTGCACTAGGTTGGGAAAAGCTGACATACATGAATAATTCACAGGTTAACCCAATTATGGCTCTACAGATTTTTGCATTCCAATTCCCATCAACCTCAATGTACAAATACATTGATTAGGACAGTGATGGCAAACCTTTTTGGCATCGTGTGCCAAAAGCAGGGGGAGCACAGCAGGATCATGTGCGTGCTCACATCCATAATGCAATGCACCCCCTGTGCGCGTAGGTCCAGAGAAGAGAAAGAAGTGGGGGGCTGTTTTCTGGAAAGAGGGGAGGGGGACAACGGCCATCGCTCCTTCGCCCCTCTCTCCATGCCACCTTTTCCCTTCCTGGATACACATCTGCCTCCTAAGCGCTTTTGGCTTGAAAAATTGCAACAGGCAAGTTCTCTCCAAGATAGTTTTTTTTTTTTTTTTTAATTTGATTTATATGCCGCCCTTCTCTGGAGACTCAGGGCGGCTTACAATGCGTTAAGCGATAGCCTTCATACTTTTGTATATTTATACAAAGTCAGCTTATTGCCCCCACAAACTGGGTCCTCATTTCACCTACCTTAGAAAGGATGGAAGGCTGAGTCAACCTTGAGCCTTGGAGAGATTCGAACCAGCAGTAAATTGCAGGCAGCTGTGTTAATTAACATTGAGTTCCACTGGCTGCTTCCGAGTAGTTTTTGCCTGTACTGCTGCTGCTTTGCAGAGGCAGCGGTGGCTCCTCCTCCCAGCCTCACTATAAATCTCGGGGTTTGCCTTACGGGGGGGGGGAGAGAAAGGTCCTGATTGGGGAGGAATCCTCTTTGCAGAGGCAGCAGCAGCTCCTCCTCCCCCTGCCAGCCTCACCGTAAATCTTGGCATTTGCCTTATGGGGGGAAAAACGTCCGGGGGGGAACATCCGTTGTGCTAGTGACTGCAGCCACTCTCCAGAGAAGCCCCGTTGGAGCCGGTCAGGCAATTTCCGGCATAGTCTGTGTTGGCAGGGCGCAGGGCTTGCCTACATAACTTTGCCGGCAAAGAGGCAGCGGCGGAACGCCGTTTGTGCCAGCAAAGAGGCAGCAGCGCCAGCAAACTTATGTAGGCAAGCCCCACGCCCTGGCTCCGCAGGGCTGCAGAGCTGAGCATCTGGCATCCCGCTTCTCTTGCACTGGCCACTGCCTTGCACACAGCTGGTCAGCACTCCAACAGGGCTTCTCCGGAGCTTGGCTGCAGTCACTGGCACCATGGACTTTCTCCCCCCCAGGACCTTTCTCCCCCCCCCAAGGCAAACCCTGAGATTTACCACGAGGCTGGAAGGGAGAGGAGGAGGAGGAGCCGCCATTGCTTCTGCAAAGAGCATTCCTCTCTTTCTCCCCCCTCCCCATAAGGTAAACCCCAAGCAGAGGCAGCAGCGCAGGCAAAGAGGCAGCGCTGCTTTGCCAGCACGAACAGCCTCCAACATGGATCCCAGGCAGCGGCTGTCAATGGCATGGCCGGTGCCCATGCGGGCTAAGAAAAGCTACTCAGTGGGCATGCGCGTACCAGGAAATAAACTTCCAGTTTCCGGTGCATGCATGCGCATCGGCCACCTAGTCTTCTGGTTACTGGCGAGCATGCGTGTGGAACGTTCAGTTGGCCAGCTGATCTTCTGGTTTCTGGCACAGCCACATGTGTGAAGGCCTGCTGATCGTCGCACATGCATGCGCACCAGGAATCAGACGACTAGCTGGCCAATGCGCATGTGTGTGCCATAAACCCAGAAGAGGAATGGGCACCGCCATACATGCCAGGCAACATGGCTCCGCGTGCCACCTGTGGCATGCGTGCCATAGGTTCGCCATCACAGGGCTAGGTTAATAGAGGCATAAACATCTGCATTACCTAGAGTCCACAGATTGCTCATTCCTGGATAGCCATATGTATCAGATTGATAACAACCTTACCAATTGATTTTGCTAGCATGAAAAGAGAACCAACAGCAATTGTGCTAAGAGATTGTGACATATTTCTTCTTATTTGAGTTAATGTGTGTCTTACCTAAAGAAGAGAGGCTTTGATAAAGGTCTGCATACAAACAGTATTTGAGTAGGCCACACTATTTTGAATATTATTGAACTACAATGTTAAAGTTGTTTTAATTTTAATCTTCTCAATAACTTTCATAAAAATGCATTATAAGTTGTTTAAAATGGATGATTAATTTTAATCTTCTCAATAACTTTCATTAAAATGCATTATAAGTTGTTTAAAATGGATGATTATCATGATGAAAACTCTGAATAAAGATGGAAGAAAGACAGATGTTAGTATTAATTCCTACAAATGATGGAGCGCTTTTGTCCTAAGTAAAGGCTGTTGATCTCACAGATTCTCAAAAAACAATCCTAAACTTCAGGATGTTATAATCGGAATCTTCACTGATCTGTACCAAAATGTTTAAATGATTCATAATGAGATATTTGTGTATTCTAAAAATAAAGCAGAATCTTACAATTATGAGTATGCTACTTTTTTATGACTGAATTGTTTTAGTAAAGGTAGATTATAGAAGTCTTCATTGTGCAGTCTGCCAAACTATGCTTGTTTCCTAGCAGAGGCTGAGTAACTACTTTGTTTGCAATGTTCCAGGCTGGCAACAATAAAAATTGCAGAAAGAGAGAATGGGATTTGTTAGACACCTTTGGGTTGCATTATGGCAAATTATAACTTCATAATGACAGCTCATCTCACAAAACATGCTGTGGTGTATTAGAACAGGAAGATAATAGTATGGACTTCGATCTTCACAAGCTGAGAAAGCTGAAAACCCAACTGGTTTAAGGATTCTGTTATGTTATTACTGACATTATCAGAAGAGGGTGAACTTTCCAAAAGAATCCTGGAAGAAATCCCAGGTAGGACTAACATTGCAAAGTAGAGTCCTGGCTGGGAAAGAGTTATAGGTGGAGTCCAGTCCTCCTTTCTGTATTGTTGTGCCAAGTTTCTTGCTGCCTCATCTTCTGAAAATCAACCTTGATATCAACATCTAATTTTTTTAGAGAACAAAATCGCTGATAGTGCCATTTTCAGGGGGAGGGATTGTTAATTTTACATTAACAATATTTTTTAATTGTTGTGTTCTTAATTCTGCTAAAACTTGATAAGTGTGAATTATTTAAATGCCTATCAATCAGGGGTGAAATGCTTCCGGTTGGTAGCAATGGCAGTGGGTAGTTCGGAGAACCAGTAGCAAAAATCCATCCCCTCCTCTCCCCTCCCCCCCATGCCCAGCTGAGCTGCGCGATCATCAGAGGCTTTTTTTTTCACTTTTAAAAGCATTTTTTCTACAACCTCTTCGGCCGAAAAAATGCTAAAAAAAAAAATCTTCTGATGATCATGCGGCTCAGCTGGGATCGTCAGAGCCTTTTAAAAGCATTTTTTCGGCCGAAGAGGTTGTAGAAAAAATGCTTTTAAAAGTTAATTAAAAAAAAAGTTGGCCACACCCACCCAGTCACATTACCCCCCACCAAGCCACGCCCACAGAACCAACAGTAACAAATTTTACATTTCACCACTGCAATGTAAACTGCAATGTTTACTAAAATGATTTTATCTTACAGCTTCAAATTATCAGAGCTAAAAAGTCAAAACCTAATTTTTTATGGTTTGTAGATTGTATTATGTTGTAGCATTCCAATCATTATGATCATATGGAAAACAATTGTCCAGCGGTGAAATCTGGCCAGATCTATCCGGTTTGCGTGAACCAGTAACGCTGGCAATGGGAGGCCGCCCACCCACTGGAACATCATTATATCCATTTTTTACCCTCTGCGCATGCACAGAAGAGGTACATGTGTGCCCAAGAGGCGTGCGTGCGCATAGCGCGCTCAC